TGATCCTTAGTATGAGTAGGTCTCAGCGGCTTTGTGAATAACTTTTAAGAAAAAACTCCTACGTAAAATGTTTTAGCGCGAGTTAGGAGCACTCCTAGCGGTAAGATAAAATGCTTTGTAAATACGGCCCCAGGTCTTTAGTTTCAGAGTCTAAGACTATAGCTGTCATGTCAAATCTACTGCTCCATAGCTTCTCTTGATAACTGGACTTAACTGTACATTTAGTAAAACGTCAGGTGTTGACATTATAAACTTCAGTACCTGTGTCATCTTGGTGAAGTCCAGCAGGGGGCGTGCGGGGGGGCGCTCTGGGTCGCGGCGCCTCTTTAGCCCGGGTTTGAGCAGCAGGAGGTCGCAGGGCTGTGAGTGGCAGCGAGGCAAGGGGGGGGGCAGGGAGCGCCTCAGGGAGGAGGGGGTGCTGCATGCCGAGGAAGGGGAGGCGCCTATTAGAGCCCCGCCCCCTCCCGCTGTCACACTGGGGGGGCGTGGCCTAATTGGAGGGGGGTGTGGCGGCAAAAAGGACGAAGTGGACGACGATGCCCCCCCTAAAGAGTCTCTGATCAACACCGGGGAGAGGGAGAAACGCCTCTGAGGGGGAGGGGGCGGGATCAAAGGGGAGGGGGAGGAGCTACAGGATGACGGGAAGAAGCAGCAACAGGCTCCGCCCCCTGACGCCGCTTCACTGGGGTCCCACGGGAAGCTCCATGGCAACGGGCTGTCCGGAGATAACGCCAGACTGAAGAAGGTGGGCGAAGACGAGGAGTGAAGGGACGAATTCAGGGAGGAGCTTGGTGCACGACAGGCTCCTCCCATTGATGAAGAGGCTCCTCCCCCTGACGAATAAGGCCCGCCCCCAACCCCGCCCCCATGGCAGGGGGTCCTGCTGACGGGGGTCCAGACTCTTGAGGCGCTCGGTCTCCAGGTGTATCGACAGCGAGATAAATCCTCAGGTACTGAGAGGGAGCGACAGTGCCTTTTAGGAGGAGGGGGGGGAGGAGGGGGAGGAGCCAGAGGATGAGGAGGAGGAGGAGGATGAGGATGCTCTGTCACTACAGGGGCTGCATCAGAAGAAGTGAAGGTTCCTTCCATCACATCTGAAAACGTTTAGTGAGAGCATGAAGTTATGGCGGCTAAACTTTGCTGAACTTTACAAAGTCCAGTTGAACAGTTTTGTATTGATGATTTTTTTAATACAGTTTACAATATGTGTAG